AGCCAAGTCACCTTTTGTCTTTGGTAGGACTCAGTCTACAGGAAGGGGAAAGAGGTTCTCTCTTAGTACCCTGTGCTCTGTTTCCCTACTTCTTCCTGCTATTCAGAGCAATATCATGAAAAGTCTGTGTAAATACTCATCCTTCCCATCAAATCCCCACTAGCTGAAACCTCCCTGTGCTGTTCTCAGCTACTGAAAACATCTGTGTTGGTATTGCCTCAGCAGCTGTGCAAAGCAGCACCACATAGCTCTGTTCTCCAAAGGCAGACCATGGGCATGGGTTCACTGGACAACACAGAGATCAGTGCTGCAGTATGAATAACCAAGAGAAAATAACTCCTGCACACTGACCATATGACCTCTAAAGGCCATGTTCCCTAGTGCCAAACCCTTTGCCTACAGCTGAGAACAGAATTCAGGCTGCTTGATTGTGCAAATTTTGCTTTTTATTAGACAGTCAAACTGAGAAATCAGAAGGGGAAATAATTTCCACAAGCAAGAAATTACCAAATTGGTAAAAGTGGACCTGAAACTAAACATTTCACATAGCTTTTGACTAATTGGATTAAGCTGGTCTCAAAACCTTACCTTGAAGTGAAAAGTCACATTTTTATATACAAACAGAAATATTTCAACTTTTCTGATTTCTTTTCTTTGATCAAAACTCTGAATATGAATTATTTCAGGAGCATTTCCTTCTTTAGAAATATATGTTTTCATTTATTCTGTTTGCTTAATGTCACAGCTCTTCAATGACCATCAAATAGCAGACAACAGTCCATTCTATCAGCATTTTTACCTGACTACAGCATGGCACAACCTTAAAGAAATTCAGGATCTTTTAGATTCTCATCATGGCCCAGGTAGGAAGATTAAATATGAACAGACATTGCTAAAAATTGGATAAACGGCATAAGAAAGTAATTTTTTTCCTTTTTTCCTTTTTCCCTTTTTCCCTTTTTCCCTTTTTCCCTTCCCTTCCCTTCCCCTCCCTTCCCTCCCCCCCCTTGTTTTTTTCTATTTTTTTTCTTTTTCCTTTCTGTTTTTATTTTCTTCTTTGTTTCTTTTTCTCTGAAAGAGCACAAACTATTGGATACAGATTAAATAAAAATGTTGAACAATTGCTTCCTTCTCCAAACAAGAACAAAATTAATATATACAATAATAGAGACTTTATATGTAGATTCATGTCACCCACAGCGACTTCTGTTGTCTGGATCATGGCCACCATTGTTGCTGGCTTGGGATTTATATTCAATATTGAAGGAATCCTGCAGCTATGATTTGAAATACAATTCCAAAAACATTGTGGAGTCATCTTTAGTTTCTTTTGTAATGTGCATTGTCATTCCCATTTTGTCTACGGAATTTGACAGTATCAGTCATGTTCTCCTCCCAGCAGCAGCACTTTACCACAGCTGCTGCCACACAACTCAAGACTTGTGTACTATATACTGGCCTAATACAGGCAAATGCATATTTTGAGGGTGCACTTTAGTCTCAAATGCTTTGAAGCACCCTCAGTCCTAACAGCCTGTGGTTGTACAACACAGCAGTATTCACTGCTGCAATTCTACACACGGGGCCCCTGGTGGTCTAGTGGTTAGGGTGCAGGACTCTCACCGCTGCGACCCGGGTTTGATTCCCAGCCCCCCGGGCAGATGGAGCTTGTCAGCCCTGTGAGGCAATCCATCTAAGAGAAGGTCACTCTAAACAAACCTACGTCCTGAGACCCTCAGTGCCACCGTCCAAGCTTGCTTGGCCCCGGCAGATGAACCTCAGGATTAAAGGGTGGGCTCAGTTCAGCGCACGCTGGGTCTCACCTAAAAAATCCACTGCGCAGGCTCGAAGGGTTAATGACCTTTCCCAAATCTTCGCTTGCGAAGACTGGCCATAATAATAAAAAAAAAATAAAAATTCTACACACACTTTAGCTGCCCCTAAACAATGTCATAAAGGTTTACTTGTGCCTGTTTTGGCTGCAAAAAATAGTGTTTAAAATTCTTGAAGCATCAATTACAGGTGTCAGTAGTGGCTCTGCAAAGGCCTTCAGCCCTTCACAAGGCTACAGTTCTGTTAGTCTGTGAATTTTGTAGCTACAGAAAATGCTTTTTCCCCAGGAAAGCAAACTGGCCAGGAGCAGTGGCTGGAGAAGGAAGGTCTCTGGCTTCTCCCAGCCCCCCTCTTCCCTCCCATTACCACTGCAGCTCTTGCCACCACCAAGACCTTACCAATGAGCATAGGCAAGGACCCTGCTGCCTTATGATCCTGGCTGGCAGAAAGTTCCAGAAGAGAATGGAGAACCAGAGCCTTGTTCACAATCCCCAGGCTGCTGTGGCTGGGGCTGCAGCTCAGCCTATCCCTGTCTCACTGCCTGTCCCTGCCAGCATGGAGGACTTGTCATAGTCCCCATGTGTCTGCAGCTGCACCTAGCCCTCACATTCACAGCACTATTATGCCTGTCACTACTGCCTCCCATGCCAGCAGCAGGCCTCAGGTCTGTTGACTCCTTCCATCCTAGAACCTAGCTGCAAGTGCTGGAGTGGATGATGGCTATTGGCTGTGGTGCCCTCCCAGATGTGGAGGGAGATAATATTATTCCTGGCATTGGAGGCTGCTGCACAGGCGATGGAGGAGAAGGTGGACCGTGTCAGAGGCACTTTCACACCCTGCAAACCCCTGATGGGGCATAAAGGTTGTGTTAACATTGACCTCTTTCTTCTAACCCTGGCCTTTTCCTGGCAATGTCTGCACTCAGGAAGCTGCTTGTCAATCATACTCTAATCAAGCTCTGCTCTGCTGCCATTTGCAACCCATTTGGGACATTCTCCCAGGCTACTGCCTTGTATGAGCTGATGGCAAAAGACAATGCTGTGTGTACACCACTACTGTAACTTTTCCTGAGTTAAGCTGTAATGGATGTGTCATCACACACCACATAGTGCCACAGAAGAGCTGTGGAGCTGCCATCTCGTGCTGAAATCTTGCCTTTATTTGACCCGGGAGCCTTACTGCTTGCTTGCACGTGATTATTTTTTGGGACCCTTTCCATGTCATTCTCTGTAAAAGTACCAAGGTGTGCTTGCACCTGAAACCATGGGTGTTCAATCAAGTTTGTACATAGGTACAAATTTAAAGAAACTTTGTGGGTGTTTTGAATTTAGGCTTGTACTGGAAACCATAATGTCAAATTGGTTTTCATACTAAATTTTTATCACAGGAACAATATAGATTAATTTATTTAAAAAAGCAGTTAAAATGGTAGGCGGAGTGAAGGTACCCACATTTTGTATGTTCACTTCTAAATCGAGCTTGTTGATTTTACCATAGTTAGTTTTCTTTATACTTGAAAAATATAGTTAAGCCTTTTTTTTTTTTTTTTTTAAATTTTGTGTGTTGCATAGAAAAGCCCGGGAACACCAATCAGAAGAATAACCATCAACTAATTGGAACAAAAGACCTTGTTGGCTTTTCACAAGTGCTCAGAATCCAGCTGCTGCCCCTGGGCCCACTCTCATAGTGCAAATTCATGATGCCCGAGAGTCACACTGTTCGGTCACCTAAACAAAAACCTATAATTCACTATTGTCAAAAGAGCCAAAGTCCCCTCAGAAACAAGGCTATTATCTTTGAGTTGAAGCCTGTAACCCTAAATAAAAAAACTAAATTGAAAATCTTTTCCTAGAAATGTAAATTGTTTTTGAAAGAATGTCTCCATGTAATTGAGGAAGCTGACTCATGGGCTTTACTTCTGCCACCTAAACCGATTAACAGGAGTAGAAACCTGGTAAAGCTGGTGCTCTGGCTTGCTGACTATCAGGAAGGCTTTTGATACATGGTCTCTGGTATTTGGATTATTTGCTCTCCCCTCTCTTAATCTCTGTGGGGAAACCTTCCTCTGCTATTTAAATACGAAATCCTCACCATACTGGAATGTTGCAGGATACTGCTTACAAACAGAGATGTCAGGGCTCAGTATTTCAGTGCGAACAAATGTTGAGTTCCAAATCAGAAGGCCCTTTGTTTATTTGTTTCATGTCTTTTGCTGGAAATTCTACATGTATTTGATCACACAAGACACTGTAAGTCCTGCCATACATCAGAATTTTTAGACATGTGGACTTCAGCTATACTTTCCCTTTTCCGGCAGCAGTGTCAGTACAGATGGCAACAGTGATTAAAAGACACCAAGTTTCTCAAATTTTTATGATTAAATACAGTTTATCTTAAGAGGCTTCAGACCGAAGTCAGCCCCTTTAAGCCTGTCAGATTTTTCCTCCAAAGATGTTGGAATGCCTATCTAGAGGAGAAAGGTTATTTATTATTCCATTCTTCAAAACATTGCATCAAAAAAGAAATCAATCTTTCCCTAAACTTTCTTTGTAAAATTTCAGCTGCTAACTATTATTTGCATATGTAGCTCACCTTAGGCTTGGTTGACACAACATACCAGCAGGTAGCTCTAATCCCTGATAAACTGTCCATTGTTACGATGGCATGTTCTCCTCTTCTCTTTTTCTTACAGGTTGGTTCCCTCCTAAGCAATGGCAGCACTTTTTACAGATAATGGCATGATGATCTTGGTAGTATGATGGGGAACAATAAAGTTTTTAAAATACTTCTGCCAAATAATCATTTAATAGCTTCTTTTGGGAAGATGCATTCCACTTAGAGAATACCAGTGTTCCTCAGGGGGCATGTTCCCATGGTTGCACTGTTCTGGAGCTCCTTAAATAAAGCTCTCCTAAGTTTCCATACTCTTTGTTTCAAAGGCTAGCAATGACACTGTGTGGTGTGGAAGTCCCATACTTCCACCACAGCTCTGGTGGAAGTATAGGACTTAATTCCCCAGACAAACCCTACTCTACTCTACCCAATTCTTACTGTATACTTATATGAGCAGACAATCAGGCATCTAAGAGGAAGTTATAAATCCAGAGATTTAGTAAATTGCTTTTATTGCTTCTTGCAGCTAATTACCAGTCTAGAACTTTTTTTTTTAAAAAAAGTGTGGATATGGCACATGGGGACTTGGTTTATGGTAAACATGGTGGTGTCAGATTGGACTCAATGATCTTAGAGGTTTTTTCCAACCTAAATGATTCTGTGATTCGATGATTCTGTGAATGTTTATCTACTTTGTACTGAAAGAGCAGAGAAAGAGCAAACAGAGGAAGTTAAAAAGTCACCATTTCTTTGCACTTAACAAACTTCACAGATTTAGGTATCATGCTGGTTAACTAACAAAGGGCCTTTAATCTAGAACTGGCATAACAACTCAGGCAGGTTTTTTAAAATTAATTTGACAAGTGCAGAATAAAACAGACAATTATCCTAAAAATGCTTACCAGTCAATTTAAATTTGTTATTTGAGTTTTGCTTTCTTCTTTATTTTGTTGCTAATTTTGTAGTGTCAAACAGTATAGACACTGCATATAAAGCACAAAAAGCTGCAAGATCCTGTAGCAGATAATGTCAGTGTCTTCTGTACATTTGCAATGGATTGCTAGCTGAGGCACTCTGGCACTGCTCTGAGGTCACTGCAGGGCTCACCAAAAGGGAGAACATGCATTGCTGAATACTCTATAATGAAATGGAGAATAATGAGATATAAATTTAAATCGAAATGTGATTATGTACAACATTCAAGAAACATCATTTGATGGTATTATGTGATATGTTTTCCATTATATAAACAATTGTGTACCTTCACCTGGATTTAGAGGTTGGTATTACAGAGTACAATGTCCTTCACAGAAATTACTGAGTGAATATCCATACTTTATTACAGTGCTCTGAAACTAGAAGAGCTGAAGCAGGGTGTTCTCTCAGTAAGCAAAAATTTAAAATCCCAGTGTTTCTTTCTCCTATCATAGTTGATGAAATCTCATTCATCTGTACTTTTCCTGAAGATGGCTACTTGTTCAACAGTTCACTCTTATCACTAAGAAGAATTCTAAATGAGTGGCTGAGATCTGAATGTTTATCTGCAATTGGACACCTGTTTAAATGTTTAAGTATATATTTGTAGGGAAAGAAAGGTCTTAAATGTCCATCAGAGAACTTACAGTTCCAGAGACTGGACAGCCTGAGTAATATGTAGTGTTTATATCTTATTTGCGAAACAAAAATTTTGTAGATGAAGAATTAGTGGGAGGAAGCTTTGTCACAGACCAGCCAGCCAAGGAAAAACACATTGCTGAGAGGAACAGATTTGTTTCCTGGGATTTTTGTTTGTTTGTTTGTTTGTTTGTTTTTGTTTTGTTTTGTTTTGTTTTAATGTAGAACAGACTATGAAGAAAGGACCAGAGAGCAAAATCAAACATATGTTAGTAAAACACAGTTAGATCTAATAAAGGTAACTGCTGAAAAATGCAAAATTTAAAAGATGTTTAGCCATAAACCACTAAATTTATAAGACAGGAGGCAGAAGAAAGGCAGCTGATATTCTAAGTCACACCTATTACTGAGGTTCACAAGAGAGGTAATGATGTACCCTGTGGTCTTTTCACAGTTCCACCTCAAAACCAGGCAACCATTTTGATTTTATGAGCTGGGATAATTCCTGAGGTGTTTCAGTCTCAAATTCAGTAAGTTGCAAAAGCCTTATGAATAAAGAATATTTTCTCTAACATTTTTGGTAACAGTTTATCCAGTAAAGTATATGAAGTATGTGACGATCATCTTGAGTGCGATCATACAGCATGTACAAGACTAGGGGATCAGGCCCAGCCAGCATGGGTTTAGGAAAGACAGCTCCTGTTCCACTGATCTGATCTTCTTCTATGTCCATATGACCCATTTAGTGGATGCAGAAAAGGCTGTGGATGTTGTCTACCTGGACTTTAGTAAAGCCTTTGGCACAGTTTCCCGCAGCATTCTCCTGGAGAAACTGGCTGCTCATGGTGTGAATGGATGCACTCTTCACTGGGTAAAAAACTACCTGGATGGCTGGACCCACAGAGTCATGGTGACTGGTGTTACATCCAGCTGGTGGCCTGTCACAAGTGGGGTTCCCCAGGGCTCAGTACTGGGGCCAGTTCTGTTTAATATCTTTATTGATACCTGGATGAGGGGATCAAGTGCACCCTCAGTCACTTTACAGCTGGCACCAAGTCGGGCGGGAGTGTTGATATGCTGGAGGGCAGGAAGGCTCTGCAGAGGGATCTGGACAGGCTGGATTGATGGGTCAAGACCATTTATATGAGGTCCAACAAGGCCAAGTGCCAGGTGCACCTGGCTCACAACAACCCCAGGCAGTGCTATGGTCTGGGGGCAGAGTGGCTGGAAAGCTGTCCAACCGAAAAGGACCTTGGGTGTGCTGGCCAACAGCAGCTGAACATGAGCCAGCAGTGTGCCCAGGTGGCCAAGGAGGCCAACAGCATCCTGCCCTGTATCAACAATAGTGTGGCCAGGGAAGTTATTGTCCCCTTGTACTCAGCACTGGTGAGGTTGCACCTCAAATCCTTTGTTCAGTTTTGGGCACCCCACGATAAGAAAGACATTGAGATGCTGGAGCATGTCCAGAGAAGGGCAATGGAGCTGGTGAAGGGTCTGGAACATAAATCCTATGAGGAGTGGCTGAGGGAGTGCAGTTGTTTAGCCTGGAGTAAAGGAGGGTTAGGGGGGACCTTATTGCTCTCTACAACTACCTGAAAGGAGGTTGTAGCCAGGCAGGGGTTGGTCTCTTCTCACAGCTAACAAGTGACAAGGACAAGAGGAAATGGCCTCAAATTGTGTCAGGAAAGTTTATATTGGCCATTAGGAAGATTATCTTCATGGAAAATGTTGTCAAGCATTGGAACAGGCTGTCCAAGGAAGTGGTGGAGTCACCACCCCTGGAGTAGTGTAGATGTGGCACTTACGGACATGGTTTAGGGAGGGACCGGGCAGTGCTGGGCTCATGGCTGGACTTAATCTTACAGATCTTTTTCAACTTAAACAGTTCTATGATTCTAAGTATATGGTCATGTGTCTATAATTTTTCTTCAGTATAAATACATAGTAAAGGAGAAGATCAATAATACAGAATTATAAATACTAACTCCTGCATCATAAACTGAACATTTGAAATGTAAATGTTGTACTTCAGACACTCATCTGCCTATTCATTTCTTTGCATTCCAGGTATCATATTTGTTTCAAACTGACAAGATCTAGAATATACGAAACAAAATACAAACACTTATTGAAGAAAGGTAATACCCGTCACTTATAGAAAATGGTATATCTTCAGGTCAAAGTAAGAATTCAGTGCAGTAACAATTATTTTATGCATTGCCATGCATAATTACCCCTTTCCTCTGTGTTATTAAGAAATATAAATTATTTATTAATTATATATACTTCAAATAGACCCTACTAAATTACTGTTCCTTAAAAGTTCTTAGAACTTCCTGAAGACACTAGAGACACTTGGCAAGTGTCTTCAGATCCCAAAATGAAAATGAAACCAGAGGATGAGGCAGTCTGTTAAAGCCTGTTTACAGTACTATAAAGTTCATATTTTTGGGGGCTTTGTTTTGCATAATAGAAATGTGAAAATATGGCAATCCAGATGAACAGATTGATGTCAATATTTCAATTCTATTTTTACAATATAAGCCGTAAGTTCACTTTGTAGGTATTAAAAAACTGAACACATTTAAATTAAATACTTACTAAGGAGTGCTTATCTGTAAAACATGTGAAGCAAATGGGTTTCTGGTAATGGCTTCTTGAACATCTAAAAAAAAGCATGAAAGTATATAATAAATATTATGTAAACCAAATACTTTAATAAAAATAAGATTCACAGTCAAATATTCAAGACAGAACTTTCTGAAGATTGTGGAAATGTAGTTTAATAGCACTACACTAGTTTTATTTCCCCTATTAACTGCTGCTGTAATAGGCCATATATCTATTTTTAAAACTTGTATCTAGATATTATATGAACAAAAGATTTAGTGTCAATAAAGAAATCTAAAGCTAGAGAAAAGAATGCCAGCTACTCTAAGCTGGCAACAAATATTCCAGGTGTAGACTAGTTAGTGACCATTATTAAAAAGACCACTATGAAGGTACACAGTTTTAGTCACTTAATTTTTTAACATGTGAAAACAAAGAAAAAAAAACGTGTGCAGAAAGGTCACAGTTTAAAAAAGCAATGCACTTTTATGACACATAAGTGCAGACAACCATTTACTTACTGATTTACAGGTACCTACTTACGTGTAAGTCTACCTGTAAAATTTCCCAGCTTCCTATTACCAATTTTAATCCCTAAATAATTAGGCAAGCTAATTAAGTTTCCCAGGTACATAAGTATCTCTATGTATTACATTAATTTTCACAGTTACTTCATTTGCAATCTGTTAACTCCTATGACTCTTTGTTTCTTTCATATTACTAACATACTTTTCTTACAGTTTTCCTGTTCACAGTTTGCAAACTTCAGCATTCTGTCTCCCAGTTCTTTTGCTGAATTTACCTTTCCCTATATTTCTTTGTAATTTCCCTCTTATACAGCAATTTAGTTTCTATATTCATGTATTTCTCTTTTCATATCTACTTTCCTAACCTGAGCACACCATACTAAAACACCTCTCTGGTAAAAAATGGAATTCTTCATTTCCATTTGCCTGGAAGCAATAACCACAAGTTATGATATAATGAAATTCGGAACCACTGTTTGATGGAGCAGGAATTGTAAGCTACAGCTGCAGAAAATTTCTAAACAGTTGCAAAGATCTATTGTTCTGCTGTGCAGTTTATAGGAAACTGAAGCCTTTTTCCTCAAAGTCATGCAATCCACCATGTGATGTAAAAATGTATGGATAGTGTGCAGAAGCTTAATAAGCCCTGGTTAGTTTGACTCCAGGCAATAAGGAGGTATACTTGGGTAACCTGATCATGAAATGGTGCAGTGCAGAAGGAAAAGTAGTGGAATGAAATCAATGGACTTCAAGAAACTCTTATAAACTCAAATAATTGACACGTAAAATCTTGTATGAAAAAAGTCCAAGGAAAATGTAAAATTCAAGAGAGTTGGCAATTCCACAAACAGCACAAATGGCAAGCAGAAGTTATTTCAATCATATGAGAAGTCAAACAGTGAAGAGATCACGTAGACTAAGTCACAAGTTCCCCACTGATTTCAAATATAAGATGGAGCACACAAAATACCAAAACTATGCCAAACTAATGACAGCTTTTATGGAAGACATGTATGACCACATAGGTCAAAGCAAATCCGAACCATTAGATAAAGGAACAGACCCAAGAAGTAAGTTTATTCTACAACTGTGTTAGTTATCATAAGACGACTAATGAAAATGTTAGCTAATTAATCACTGGGGAAAAAATTATCGAGAACAAGTATAGACATTTTCCCCACATTCTTCAGCAAAATGGAAGCTGTGATTGGAGAGTTCATACAAAAAGCACCAGTATAAAGCAGGTAAGAAATCAGCCTGGCATAGAGAAAGAACAAGTTAGATAATACTTAAGTAAGTTAAGCTGTTCATTATAAAGGGATATATTTGCAAAAAATATATGATATATCATATAAAAGGCAATTATTTGCAAAAATAATTGCAAAAAAATCAAGATGGATAAAAGCAGATTCCCAAGTGAGGCTGATGCACCTGATGCGTCTTGAAAGAACATTTTTGACAAACATCTGTTGCAAACAACATCTACAGTTGGGCTGAAGATGTCCTCCAGTCATATTTTGAATCATATTTTTGACCAAGAAAAGGTCACCGTTATTTTAAATTAATCTCACTGACTTCAAGAAAGGTCTCATGATTTTGATCTACTGTTTGCTAAATTCAGTAAATAACAACAACAACAACAACAACAACAACAACAACAACAATAATAATTTCTATCACGAGATTTCTAGTTTTAACCCAAATAAATCTATGGCAACAAAATATAAAGCTATTTAATCATTTGATGTATCATTTATTATCCAACTTACTTTGTAGCCTCTGACTGAGATAATTAAGAGACTGGAAAATCCTCTGTTCTTCTACTGAGAGTGCACTCATGCCTGGACACGGAGCCCTGTTAAGCAGTGAGGGCTGGCTGGCTGGCTGCACACTGTCCATAGCTGCCAGGATTTCACCCTCCACCATGTGTGTATTTGCTAGTTTTTCTGCCATTAGAAACTGAACAGTGCTTTCTGAAACTGAAGAGATTACAGGGGGAACTTCAAATGAGAAGAGCTCTTTACATTTAAGTAAACTGCTTGTTTTCATGACTATATGTCTGTGAAACACATAAAACAGACATTGACAGATCAATTGGCAAAATCAAGAAACTTGATACATTAGAAAATAAAATAATTAAGAACACTAATTCATCTTATAATTGGCACCAGAGCAAGTCCTAATGAGTTTGGAAATATGTAATGGTAGCAAGCAATACCTGTCCCTATCATACAGTTATGTATGACATGTACAGTTACAAACGGGCACGGAATGAAAATTAAATACGTGTTGTAATGCATTTATAAAATCACCCATACCATGATAGGGTTATATATTGCATTTCCAGGAAAAAAAAATTAGGTCTAGATAAACTACCCTTTTCTGCTTAGAATCACTGATGTCAAAAGGCACAAGCCATGTTACACAGTGGATGTATTAGGTCATTCTACTTTATGTACAACCAAGAATTGAAGTGAGTTGTGTTACTATACCTTCCTCAGATTTATAGATGTTTTTCATCTTTTGTACTGGATCAAATGTGGATGGAGCAGGACTCAGCTGGACAGTACATAACGAATTCTATAAAAAATATTATAAGAATATTTTAAGTATAATTTAAGGTAACCACTACCTTCTGAACATGTTTTATTTATTATTTCATATTACCAAATGTTTTGAAGTGCCAAAGTATTAGTGTATACTAATTCAGTGAGGTATTCTGGTTGGTTTTATTCTTGTCATTAGCAGTGACAGCAAACATACTGATTCAAAATTGCATGACACTGAACAAATCTTTGATATTTCTAAAGCTCTTTCCATTTTGAAGATAAACAAGCTTTTTATTTTTTGTAGTATTTTATATTAACCTGTGCATGATGAGTAGGCTCCCATCCTTTAGATGCTACATTTTGTCTTCTGTGTTCCGAAACAGCTCTGTGTTTATTTTCATAGTTGCCAAGAACGTGATTTTGTCTTGTAACAGGAACAAAACCTTAAATAACATGCAGACAAAAATAAACCAAAAATGTGTAAAACCATGATAAAGATAGTAGTAGCAAAACTAATAATGATGAGTAAACATCTCTGCCCACATTCAGATGTTTACATCTGATATCATTAAATATATTTTCTTAAAATGAAAAGAGAGAAACAGGTACTTTTAAGGTGTTTTTTACCTCATGTTAGTATAGGACTATGAGACACAGGTGTGGATTCTATGTGGACATAAGCATGCTAAGTGAAGCCCCACTTTGAATCCCAGATAATAAAAATGGTAAGTAGAAAGATACAAGGTGGTCTTACCAAACAAAAAGGAGAATGAAAGGTGAGCTATGATATAAAAATAACAAATAATGTGCCAAAAAGTAATGTTTTAGAAAATAAATTGTATTTAAAGAATAATCTTGAAGTCTAACTGCCTAAGACAGTAAATGCCTGTTGACAAGTTGCTGTAATGTATATCTTAATGGATTCAACTTCTGTGAAGATTACATAGCAGTTTGCAGAAAACGGGGTAGTTCACACTTTATTTGATTCACAGAATCAAAGAATGGTAGAGGTGGGAAGAGACCTTTGGAGGTCTCCAGTACCTCCACTCAAACAGGTACCTCCACTCAAACAGGTCCACATACAGCTCCTTGCCCAGGACCATGTTCAGATGGCTTTTGAGCATCTTCAAGGATTCAGACTCAATAAAATCTCTGGGGCAATTTGTGCCAGTGCTCAGTCACAAAGTAAAAAAAAAATGTTTCTTGATATTCAGAAGGAAACTCCTTTGTTTCAGTTTGTGCCCTTTGCCTCTGGTACTTTCAGTGGGCACTGCAGAAGAGAGCCTGGCACTGTCCCCTTTGCAGCTTCCTTCCAGGCATTTATAGATATCGATAAGATTCCCCATGACCTTCTCTTCTCTGGGATGAACAGTCCAAGCTCTCAGCCTTTTCTCCTAGAAGAGATGCTCCAGTTCCTTTACCATTTTCATAGCCAGTCACTAGACTCTCTCCAGCACATCCATGTCTCTTGTACTGAGGAGTCCAGAACTAACACAGTACTCCAGGTGGGGCCTCACAAGTGTTGTAAGGTTTAAAAGTCATGGTTTTAAACCTTATTTCTATAGCTTGGGATTTTGTAGTTAATCTTACTAATTCATACATCTGTATACTAATTGTAATGACAGTACTGTTGTATAGAATTTTCCCTCAGTCAGAGAGGTCTAACCTAGACAATGTACCCCAAAATCTATTTCAGTTTTGTCTGGTGTAGCAATACATTTTCAAAATTAAAGCATCAAGTTTCAAAATTAAAATTATGCTCTTAATTAAATGTTTATGTGTACAAACCGGAGATGCAAATTAGCATTTTCATGGGCAACTCAGGAATCTACATACCCAAGGAGATATTATATTCTCATTTGTAAACACAGTTACTAGACTTGTAAATGCAGTTACTTGATTTATACTTGGGAAGATAAATTACCTCTTTATTTACCTAATAAATATTTACATGTGCTGTTTAATGTACACTTCATGATTTCACCAACAGATCTTTTACTGATTCTAACAGAATTTTATTTCTTTTGTGGTTATTACAGTGACATTAACAAAGCAGAATTCCTACCATTCCCAGAAAAAGAAAACAATTAATTGATACTTGAAGCATATTTGAAACTAGTCATCTGGCTGTGTCAGAGACTGAAATGGTTAATGATTTATGCATTCTATGAGTTGGATAAATAGATAGTTCCTTCTTTTTAATAATGGGTCCGTAGTGGGCCAGATTTCTTTTTTTTTTCCGCAGGAACCTGCCAGCAGATGAGATCAAACTGCGTGAGACCAATAAAGCTTTCAACTGCAGCAATGGGCAGAAAAGATAACTGCCCCCACAACTGCTTCTATTATCAGCTTACAAGTATCCCATGAGAAAATGAAGTAGCAACAGGACTGAAGACTTATACTCTTCTTTGACATGTGTTTGTGGTTTTATCTTAATAACTTTGTAATATGCATGTCTGTATGTATTTTTGTCTCAGTAAGTTTGCAATATGTAACAGTTTACCACGAACATTGTGTTTGTGTCCCCTCTACTCCCAAAATTTGTGTTTTTATCATGAACAACTCGCTGATAAGATTGTGTAAGACAAGCCATTTTATGTACTGCTAGTTTAGTTTTTACCAAGTTTGTTTTGTCTTTTTGTTGGGGGGCGAGTTGGCTTAGGAGAGGCTTTTGGATGTGTATAGTTCTGTCTCAATCAACTGAGAATCAAAAAACTCAATCAAATTTAGCCTAGGAGTTAGTACAAGAATTTACGCATATTTGGAATCATACAAATATGTATTATATGCATTAACCCTCTGCCTTGGAAGGCATCAAATTTTATATTTGGCTAAATTTTACAAAATATTGACAAATGAAACTAAATCTAAACAAAACAAAAGAAAATGTTACCTGAAGAGAATATAAGAAAACCTTTTACCAACTCCCAAGTAACTCAATGTGTTTGCATAAGAACTGATGTGTAATTTCAAGTACAATTTCAAGACACACTGCCCCCCCCTCTAACAGACACATTATTATAGAATCCCTCACACCCACTACGCATTAAAGGATACCCTGATTACTCACAGGGTGGAGACAGTGGCTAGTGAAAATTAGATTTGTGTCAGTATTAAATCCTGATGTTTGTACCTTTGTTAATATTGGGAAATTTGATTGTAGCTATTGAGATCATATTACATCCCCTATGACTACTCATGGGGTGGAGAGAGTAGCTAATGAAAATTAGCTTACTATTTTATTATAAAGTTGGGGGTTTTTTTGGGGGGGGGATTGCAGTGCATTGGGCCTATCTCTTCCTTTCCTTTACTCTCCTATCTTCCTGTCCAGTATACAAAAAGCGCCGCCCACAAAGAAGATTCACAGAGAACAATGAAAGAAGAAAAATTATTGAATGCATAAATCACGAGGTGTCAGAGACTGAAACGGTTAATGATTTATGCATTCCAGGAGACTTTTGCAGGCTTTTGACCTCTGATGGGCAGTTGGGCCCATCGGTCCCTCCAGTGCTGAAGCCCTGACTAAGTGTCAAGCCCTGAAAAGGCAGAAAGAGCCGAGTTTATACCTCTGATGGCCCATCAAAGCCCATCCCCCCCTCTGCCAATCTTGAAAGGCAGGAACCAGGCCAGACACAGAAACTCTGCGCAGGCCCAGGGAGAGTTTGGAGGCTCGAGGTGTGGCCCATGACACTAACCATGGGTATAATAACTCATAACTTCTTGGAGTGTAGGGACTTCCCTCCTTCACCCCCAGCAGATCAAGGCCACCGCTTCAACTGACAGACATGGAAGCGGCAACTACCAAGTGTCATTGCTGGACCCCGTGGGCGGTGACTTTATACATTTTGTCCACTCTCAGCTTTTCTTTTTCCTTACTGTCCCTTACTCTTATCCTGTCTTTCTCTCCCCTATGCATTTTCTCCCTCCCCCAAAGGTTATCTTTATGTCACATTGTTATATGACAACACCCAAAATGCTAGCATACCTGTTGATACAAAATTGTTAAAATAAACCTTAATAATATGTTTTCAGACACTGATTATTCAGTGTTGTTTCACTCTAATCCACCCCAAGGGAATTATTGTTAAGAACTTGGGTTACCCCCCTCCCCTTTCTCTGGGGCGGGTTGTAACAGGCTGCTGCCATCAATAGTAACATGGGACACATTAGATTTAAAAGGTTGCCATTTAGTTAAGTGCAAATTATTGTAATATGATGCATGGTGCTGAATAGCACCTGAAAAGAAACATTATATTGAATATGGCAGAAAGTTAAAAAAAAAAAAAAGAAAACGAAAAGAAAACAAGAGACCCCTGATTATATCAGTGATCACATGATGTTTTTCAGAAAAAAATAAAATTCAAACTTGCTCTATGCAGATGCATCAATACTTAATTTAATTAGTTTGCAAGACATGCTACATATATGCCAGGGGAAAGATTCCTTTGAGACGTGTAAGACAAAATTATAATAAGCAATAGTATCTTTAAGGGAACAAGATACTAAGCAGTCTACAGCTGTTCAACTACAAGCATGTAATTAGCCCCATATTTGTGACAGGCTAAAGGTCAAACACATTTTTAAAGCCTTTTACTGACTAAACTAGAAAGGTCTTAAAATAATTCTAATATCCAGCTACAATATAGTATGTGTCAGCAGAAGATATACAACTTGAAGCCTGGAAGCCAAATTAAATTAAGATCCTCATGGATGATAATTTTATTTGTTCATTTTCTTCTCACTTATACTTTAGGTACATTTGGCCAAGCATTGCAACAAATCACATTTTCTACAGTGTCTTCACAAACCTCATGGAACTCTGCAGATATTTTACTTGAGAGCAATGCAGTATTCAATCTCACAGCAAACACTTCAGGACAAAGACTATGGTGTCTTTGTGAATTGGTAGGCAATTGAACAAATAACAGCAAGTCAGTAAGAGTTATCTAGAGTATTTAAAATAAAGAAGACTTTTAAAACACAAAATCTAAGCAGATACTGAGAAAGGGCAACCCACCCAAATTTATTCCTCAGCTCTTCCCCTGAAAGAGCTGGAGGTATGTGACATTGGGAATGTGGCATTAAAAGTTGCAGTGAAGACAGTGTTAGTAGTGCACACAACTTTGACCCAGTACATTTCCTGATTGATTGATCTGATGTGCAGATAAGGACATCAAAAGGCAAGAATCTCTGCTGGAGGCGAGGCATGGTAATGCAAGTCTTCATTTATTTCCAATGTAAAATCAAATAGGTTAAGTCACCCGGATCTTAAATTCATCTGTTTGACTTTGAACTGGAATAGACAAACAGATAGCATTTTTCATTTCCCAGCCCTACTTAAGGCCAAGAATATTCACCTGCCTGCCTTACATAACAGAGCTGTTTTGAATCACTCCATAGTTAAAACTATATATTACTAGATAAATGTAGATAAATGTAGATAAATGTAGATAAATACTAGATATATGTAGATAAAACTAGAAATGTAGGGGGGGGTTAAGTTATCTGAATTAATTATTTTGCTAGAAAGTATTTTTGAGTTGCATGGCCAATCCTTGGGGTGATCTTGGTACATGAAGCAGTTTGAAATGCTGCTTATACTTGAAACAGGGTCTACAGTTGCAGGAACTCCTGCCGTAGCCCTCAATAGGAAGCAAACCAACAAACTACATAGAAATTATAAGCACAAGGATGTCATCAGTGCCCAAGGCACAGAATATAGATAGGCTGCACAGGAGAAACAAGGCAAATCAAAAAGCATGAAATGTAATTTGAAATGTAAAAACTGGGAGATGAAAGTTTATTCACCCAAAAATTTCTTATGCATCTTTCCTCTATCTTACCAATCAATCTCTTCATCAAGGTTAATTTTTAATGAAATGCAGGATTGTTTATCAAATTCCTTAAAATTCTTCATAAATCAGACATACTTTGCAGCAGAGCAAAGTTTGCTTGGCAGAAGCTCTTTAATTTTAACCTACCTTTAATTTTTTTTTTAAGCTTTAATTGTATTACTGGGAATAAGTCTTAATAATTTTAGGCATTTTCAGCGTCAACATTTTAAAAACACAGTAGATCTATACTTCTTTCACTGTCATGTGGCAGTGACTGTTGAACAACAAGCTGTGACTCTCAGTTACCTTGTAAAACTTGCTTGTATAAACTTAGTCACTTCCTCCTATATCATTATTTAGACCACCTGTCACATCTGCTCATTAGTCATGAATATAATCTCAGGGAAAATACTTCCTTTTCATTTAATATTGTAGAGAGCTATTAAAAATGAGGATCAATGTTTGAGAGGCCTCTGGGCACCAGTAGAATAGAAATGACAATGACAAATGGTGAAAGCTTGTTAAAACTGGTTGTACTGTGTGGATGGATGAAAGGTTGGACGTTTCAACTGAAAACAAATTCATGATGTAATTGAAGAAGACTTTTGTCTGAACATCCCCCCACCCCAGACCCAGAAACATGACTCTTACCAGTAGCAGACTCCTTTGCAGCTCGGGCAGAATGTGCTCCACGCCAGGAGGTGCTTGTTTTTCCAGCTGCTGGGATATGATGGAGATGTAATCCATTTTCTGCATTAACAGGTCTTCTCTCAGTGCAGGTTACTGAATGATTTTGACAGGCTCTTGCCTGAACACCACTTACAGAACAAGTATTTTTTGCCCAAGGTTCATATTTGGCCATGCTGCAGTCGGGTGGAGAGATCACAGCGGCCAAGCCAGAACAACAAGCAATGTTCTCACTGTTTTCTCTACCGTTCCTATTTAAACCCCAATTTGCTAGCACAACATGCTTGTCATTTAAATCATTCCTGCTAGTAGTGGTAGCTTGGAGGCTTGAAGGCGGCAGCGACTGACACCCAGGGCTGGCTTCGTTTTTGACACTTCTGTTTCCCAGCAGAGGTGGGGAAGGCAGGTGAGGTGTTAGCAATTTCCCTGGAGCTTTTTGAGTGTCGTTGGCTCCAGTGGCTGACTGCAGTTGGAGTATAGTGCCTCTTCTCTTGGGCATAAAACTTGACTGGGCTCTTACAAATGTTTCTCTTCCAGTTATTTTTGCCTTATTTTGATTACCTTCATTAATTTTAGAATTATTGCTATATACTGAGGGTTTACTTGCTTCATCTTTTGACACCATCCAAGCTTTTTTAGCAGAAAAGTATTCAGTAGACATAAATATATTCTGAGATGTGCATTCTTTATTTGATTGTTCAGTATTAACATTTGGTTTTGATATATGAGAATTTTCCTGATGATTTTTCATGAACGTGGGGTTTGAAGGTTGAGCAACAATACTTAAATTATTCTTAGGAGAATTATTTGCAGTTTGAACATATTGCAGCTTTGAAGAAGATATTTCACTGGTGCTTTTTTCATAGCATTTTTCATTATTTTCTGTTATTATCTGGTCAATTTGATCACACCATCTTAGCTTCCTATTGTATTTTTCATTTTCTGCACTTTTCTTTTTTATTTTTGCCAGTTCTAAACTGTCTCTGATAGATGACATGGATCGAGTTCCAAAACTGATCCCATGGTTCATAACCACAGTTTTGAAAGGACTGGCTTCATATTTAGAATCCTTCTTTAGGATACTTCTGAATAACTTTGCTCTTTTTCTTTCAAGAATATTACTTTTCAGGGTTTTGTCCTGTGCAGGAATTCCAGAATTGAACTCTGTATCTGACACCAGTGACATAGTGTCAATTATATTTCCCTTTCCTTTCTCTTTGGTATTCTGTTGCTTAACTTCCAACCAAACTGAGGCATTTGGTATGTCTTGAAATAAAGATGTTCCTGGAATAGTATCATTAATACATTTAATATTTTCTTCTTTTGTTTCAGTCATTTTTCCTGAGGTATTTTTTAAAAACTTTGTACTGATATTTTTGTCCTTTGGTAATGTATCAGCTGTGCTGGGAATGCCAGTGGAACATCCCCGATTAGGAAATAAGATTATAGATGTTGCAATAGGTTGACTGGATGCTTGCACAGATATAGTTCTCTTCTGTGGAGTCATTTTAAAACTCTGATCTTGCATCAGATCCTGAACTCTTTCTCCTGGAATAGAATCAGGGCTGTCCCAGGCTTTGCTAGGATTGAAAACAGGATGACCAATGGCTAATGTGCTAGCCATTCCAGAAAATGGCTTGCTTCTGTCTTCTTCTATATTTTGCAGAAAACTAAATGTATTAATTACAGAGCTCTTTTGCTTATCAGAGGTAGAGAACTCTGGAAGTTTTTTTCCAGATCTCTGAGAAGCAGATGATTCCTCTTCTGAAGCGTTCACATGTTCAGCAGGAGTTAGAACATTATGTTTAGCTAAAAGATCATGAATAGGTATGTTGTGGTAGTGTGGATCTGCATTTCTCAAGCAATTATTTAGATGCGCATTTTTAGAAGTACTTTGATCTATATGAAGTAAACCACTATTCCTAGTCTGGGATTTTTTTGGATCATACAGGGCACAGTCACACTGTGCAGTCAAAGATGATTCATTCGGTGTTATGTAATCTCCACTTTGTCCTCCAGCCTCAAGACTGTCAAGGCTTGTCAGGCTTTCTGAATCATCTGTTTCATTGAGTTCCTGATGAAAATTCTGAAATACAGGCAAAGAATCAGACTGTTAGATTTATCAGAAATGTGGTTTTGCTGATACTAATTTTTCATTAATGAGAGCCTAGACTAAAATACAAACAATATTAAGCCTGATGTTTTTATGACTTGGGTTCACATCACCATGAGTGTTTCCACCAAGTCAAAATTTACCTGTATGAAGTTGCAAAAGAAAATGGTGTAATTTGGGAAGAAATTTAGAGGAGAGAGCTGCATAGTTCAACAAATTTAATCCTTAGTTATATATGAATTCTGCAATATCAAAAAAGGAACTAGATTTATCTAAACAATAATACTGTTTATGGATTTCCCTATGATACAGGATGACTTTCATACTCTGTAAGGCTTCTAAGTGAGTTTACAAATTGAAAGATAATCCATGAAAATGCAGATTTGATAGCGGATCTGCCCCAAACTGGAACTTTTCCATAATATTAGACTGAATATGTTTCTTTTCATACAACGAGCCACAAGTGATAAGGAGTGAAGCCTTGTCATGGCAAACAGAAAAATCTCTTAACTATCATAACCACAGTGACTAACAGCTCCCGACCCCCCAGTGAAATTCCCTGTTCTGTTTGTGTCTTTCAGAAAGAAGAAAGTATCATCTGATCTATGAGGACAGATCAGGTATAAGAGCCTAAGGGAGTCCCATCTACTCCCCCAACCTTCTCATCAGATTTTAATGGAGTGATGAATAAGAGGAACTGGTACCATCTGAAACATTAGTGGGACAACTTAATGTATGCACTGTACAAGCATTTTCCTCACTCTTACTTCTCTATCCAAGCACTGAGATGCTGACATCATTGACAATATATACTTTTGTAAGTACAAGACTTCAAAATACCCATAAGCATAAAGGATAACAAGCATGTCAACTATTTTCACAATCTCGTACACTCACTTTCACACAACTTAGCAGCAAAGTGATTGTTAAACTTATGTTGGAAGAAACTGGTGTGATAAACTAAGAGAAGCTGAATTAGATATGCAACTTATGCAATGAAGATTTTTTTTTTATTAGTGACTTCAAATGGAAAATGTTTCAAGTAGCAAAATCTGTTAACCTAGGCAAGTGAATATATATCCCCTAGCAATAACATAGAATTAGCATTTTGAAAACTCACCAAAGGATACATAAAATTCTTTAGTGAATAATAATAATATATTTTTGTAGTAAACATTTTTTATTCTAATAAAATTGTTATACCTTAATATTGCATGTTTTATAGTTGTACAAATGTATTAAATTGCAGAATAAAAAGCTTAGTAAGTCCTGAAAGATTTTTATGGTTGAATTAAATCTTATCTTGCACTGTATGTTCAGAGGTTGGTACAGTCTTCCATTATAGTTACGATCTGAGATACTGAAACTAAATAGAAGAACAAAGAACAAAGTGTAGGGAAAGATCCCTTTAGGGAAAATTTTCAAACTAAAGCTATATAAACCAGTGCCTTTCTAACAGAAAAAAAGAAATAACACTTTTTTAGTTATTTATTAACTTTTATGTTTGGCTAAATTATATTGTTAACCTCTGCTTGAACTTCACCAAACAAGGAAAAGGCATTTACTCAGAGTTTTCAATACCAGGCCAAATTTAAGAACTAGCTTTGAAATTTTCAGATGGAAAGAAAAAACAGTAAAAAGAAATTAGGGCTTAGTCCTTGTCTAATTTGGAAACTGCAACTGTATGGCAAAATACATGTTTCTAAAATGACAAAGTTAGACAGCAGAAAAATTTTCTAAGGATTGTTTTAAAAAGCACTCTTTCTGATAGCAGGTCAGCTTAAACTGATAAATCTGGAGGATGCAAGAAAATCTGCAACTTTTAAAAATTAAGATTAAGAAAAATTCTACCTGGTTGTGCTCCAGAGCACAAAAGACTTCATCCTTCATTATATATATAATTTTACTCTCCTTGTAAAAAACCCAAAATCCCAGTTGAGGTAACATCCAGAAATGTTAGGAACTAAAGAATAGAGTCCTCCTTTAAACACATACTTACTTTTACATAGTTTATGCAAATTTAGTTCATTTTTTTTTAGTTTTACGTTTATTTTGTTTCAGCATACAATTTCATCCTTTCACACAATAATGTTTAACATTCTTACTGAAATATTCACATATTTCATTCCCCATTTTAACCTACCACGTAATGCAACTGAATGTCATGTTTCCTCATAGAAATGTGTAACTAGAACTACTTCTGCAGACAAAAGAAAAAGCATTCAACAATTACCCATTTTTGTGATCAATAAGTGCAGAGAAATAAACCTGGAAATCCCAATCATTTAATTTGATTTAATCTGTGAGAATACTATAGGATGACAAGGAAACAAAATGTTCATAGAGTGTACTATTTTGTTATTTTCTGTATTTGCATACTGTTTCTGTTATATAAGTACGATGTATTGCCTTGCCTGTGGCCTGCATTATCTTATGTTCTAACGTTTGAAATCTACCCCCCCTCTGTCCACATATGTGGTATTCTAGGAAAGGGAACACTTCCGAGGAGTTAAAGAGGTCACTTGTATGCCTTAAGACTTAGAACAGCTGTGTCAAAAAATTTCAATTTAGTAAAGCACTAAAACAAAGAGAAAACATGAGCCTAATAAATCTTTCATGAGGCCAATGAAACATTGTAACAAGTGAAATTTTAAGGGAACCCGACAAGTGAATTTTCTGCCAAAGTGTTCTGACTCTGTCAGAACACTATTACACCAAAGAGCTGCTATATGTGTATTTGACATGTTCTGCAAAAGAAGTTTTGACTGTTCATAATTCCAGGAAGTGAATGGGAACACTCTTCTGAAGATAAATGCTGGAAAAAATGCTACCTACTCTGAAAACCCAGGCCCCTCACCTCTCACACTACTTACTATTTTGATAATTTCAAGTGGTTTATTTTTACAGATATTCTTTGCTTGTTATACATACATACATATATACATATATATATAAAGTTATACACCTAACTGATTCTGAGGTAAAAGACACCAATATAGATACAAAACTACTTCTCAAAGCCAGTGAAGTACCTAAACACCTTCATTAGTTTTGAATTTACCAACTACAGAATAGGAAAGTCCATTAAAATTAATAATCTCTTTTCCATATGAGTTTGGCACTACTTTCTCAGAAGACTTGGGCAGACTCAAGAGAGCAAATTCCACTAAGAAAGCATTCTAATGCTTACATTACACAAGAGATCCATTCTATTGTGCCAGACCCACCAAAGAAGCTATGGAGCTGTAAGATTACCAAAGAAAATCTTACTATCAACACTCCTGTCTTTCCTAGTCTAACTCCTAGGTGCCTGATCTTCCCCCAAGCTTCCTGGAATACAGAAACTAGATATCTATGATTCTATGAATATTTAAAGGGATCTGATTCACTTGTTTGAAAATTATCACGGGATATTAGAAATGCAGGTTCAAACTTCTACGGATAAAAAGAATTAATGTTTCTAATTTCATGGGCACTTGGGCAATTCAGTAAACCATACTGGTAGAGAAGTTTAAAAGAAAAGTGATCTGAACACTGAATGCCAGGGTGCCAGTCTGACTTCCAGTTTTTATTAAGTCCTGAGGTAAATGTACGTAATTGTGTAGGAAACAGATTTTCAGCTAAACTTGTCCCTCTCTTGTTTTAGCACCTCCATACTCAGAGTGCTGTTTCTCAGGTACCCTGTCCCAGGTATCTAACCCTCACAGACTAACCTGGTCATTCAGCTCCAGGAGTAGAACTCATAATGCTAGGTTTAAATACTATGAAAATTTGTAAATCATTAAATGTTGAGGCACTGTGCACCATAATGAATTAGTCTCTTTTTTTGTTTCTAACCCATTAAAAAATTTATGCACCTGGTGAGCAGGCACCATCTACCCCGCAAATTTGCCATGTAAAAATATTATGGGACTGCATAAATGAAAACCATCATAAGGCAAATAGCCATGGAGAAAAATTTGGCATGCATATGAAATATTAATTGTAGAAGTTCTTAAGTGCTTAACTAATAAACATTTTAATGATTAAGTTAACAGATTTGAATGAACTGGAGCTGTAGCATCAGTAAGAAAGAATAAATTAATACTGTTTGACTAGTACACACTTCCTGAAAGAATCACAGTGTGTGAATATAACTTTTAAAATAATCTCTAGGTCAACTGAGAGACTATCCTACCAGAACTATCTAATTCGCTAAAACACTTGTATTTATTTTAGTAGTCTATGACAAAACATGATTTTTTATTATAACAATGTAAATAGATTGTAAAGATGGAACAGTTTTTAACATGTTCCCACTCTATCTTATGCACTGCACAGCAGCAACCAAGGCAGAACGTGGATTTATATAACGAACTCCTAAAAGTCAGATACAGAAATCCTTTTAGAATCATAGAATACCCTGAGTTGAAAGGGACCCGCAGAGATCACTGAGTCCAAAGCCTGACTCCATACAGGGCAATCTAAAAGTAAAATAAATGGGAAAAATAATTTAGTCTGGAGATACATTTCAAATTGTTTTTATAGCATATGTGAATTTTGGATTAGTGAAATAATGTGGAAGATAGCTGTATATCACAATATTGGTTGAAAGCCAATGAAAACTGAACCCCTCTGATCTTGCCAAAAGGAAAATAAGGAGAGAAATAATTTAAGTCCATCACAAAATTTAAGTGATCAACATAAAAATGTTAACACTCCCATTTATAAGTAAAAAGTGGCCAACGTTTCTAGATTTAAGGTGACCATAGAAACCTATTTCAAGTTGTTGACTGGTGTCCACAAAATCTAGTCTGACTTCTGTTTCAATGCCATTTTATCACAACCCTCCCCTTCAGAATCTGTTTTCCCAATAACCAGCCCTGAGCATTCTACAAGTTCCTGATACTCGGCAGAGACTCTGTACACAGGCCCTCCTTTTTTCCATGCTGGTCTTGTCTCTGCCTCTGAAGAATTAGACTGATACCACATTCCTTGCATAAGGAACCTTTGTTTAAGTCATTCCAGTCATACTACAGTTTTTCCATCAGTTACCTGAAACATCTCCATCTCATAGACACTGTCCAACCTCAAAAGCACAGTAACACAAACAGCTGACAGTCATACAGGTCAACTCAGGCAAGGAAGGCCATGTTCATACCTATGCTGCTTCCACTCAGTGAAACATCACTTAGAAAACACTTTTCATTATTTCTCAGATACTTATGTGATTTTACACATCACACACATGAACACACAGTACAATAAGATACAAATTCTTCTTGTATTAGAGATAGTATAAGAATAACCTTCTGAGTTCATGGTTTGCATTGCAAGTTCCATGTTCCATCTCTATTTCAATAAATATTGAAGTATTTTCTTCCAAGGGGAATGGAATCCATAGAAAGACTGATACTCAGTACTTCAATGGCTGGACAATATGCTTGGAAGAAAAGGAGAGCCAAGCTAAAAATCCTGCTTCAAATCAAGCAGAAAGGGATTTAAATTTAGATTTCATGGATATCACTTGAGTAACCTAATTATGGGCGCATAAAGGGTGGAAGAGGAAAATACAACCTCCATGTGATAATCCATACCTATTTTGTCTGTGAATTAGCTCTTACTTCAAGTATTTTGTTTAAAAAGTGAAACAAAGAGGTAAAACGTTATGCCAATCACTTTGATTCCAACATAATGTATTCTTCTGGAGGAGCCTAGAAACATTGTACTGACCCAAACAATGTTGTATGGCCACCAAATTAAAGAGGTGGCCAAAAGAAAAAGACAAAAGATACCTGAACAATATTATTACTAGTCACAGTTGAGCCATTTTAATGGGAATTTTCTAAATTATTCAGTTCAAGGCAGGCACCAGAAATGAAAAATTTGGACATAATCAGTTAATAATTTTGAAAAATGATAAGCACTTGGGTCTAATGTCTTTTGGCAAAAAGCTGCCTGCAGGTTTAGCCAAAGACTATACTATCATCTCCATCTTAAAGATTTTGTTTATGCATACAATAAAACCAGGAAAAGATTGTGCAACAAATCCTTTTTTTGTGAATGAAGTTAACAATATCAAATTCTTCAAAACAGAACATACTCATGAACATATAACTAATAATAATTTGATATACTGGCTCAGATGCAACTGTTGCACAGAACAAAATCTACTGCTCTCAATATTTTAAGCAAAATAATTTTTTGAAAATGGTAGAAGGGTCACTAAAAACCTTGGCTTACTGATGAATCTATACAAATTTTTAGGGATGTAAAGCAGGGAACACAGCAAATCTACTAGTAAAGGTTTACATAGAACTTTATTCCCTTGTAGGAAAGTAAAGAATTTTAGGAATCTCTATAATCCTGCTGGGCCTGTAAAAACAGAAATAAAGAGAGGTCAAAGGATCTCAGTGGATAGTTAGATTGCAAAGCATGTGCACAAGGAAATACTTTACTTTCAGAGAGGCAAGCACTGTTGAAATGACTTTGGACAACAGGTAGGAGCAAGACTAATGAAATCTATTCATTTCAGTAAGAGTATTACAAATAATTATAAATTATAAATCTTATTAGTAAGAGTACTATAAATACTATTTCACAACACAGGAATTCTCAATGCACATGCACACCAGCAGAATCTAAATATTAAACTTCCCAAACTCAGGTCATGGAACAAGGACAATAGCTTTCTTGACTTTTCTTCTTAACAGACTCCAAAACATGCCATTTCAAGAAAGAAAGAAAGTCCAAATGCCTTAAGTATAAATATTTACGTTTTGAAACTATTTATCAGAGGAAAGAAGCTGAGCAACCCCTAGTGGCAGTAGAAAAACACATTCTGGAAAAAAAAGCTAAATTTTCTACAGGACCAAGATATTTTCAAAAACACATTAATTTGTGAACACAAGATATATGCAGTGTCCGAAGTTGCTATAACATTTAGAAAAAACTGCAAGTAAAAAATTATTCATGACTCATAGCAGATTTTTCCAAATATTCAATTAGAAAGTGATAACTGTGTTTGATAAAATACACTACAATATACATCTTACAATATATTAAGAATAATCTTTTTATACATTTTCTCTCAAAGAGAATGCATTTTGTTTTCTAATTCTAAGATATCCTAATGCAATTACTGCCAAATTCAGTATCATCATTTAGAGAGGGATTTGCAAGCACTATACCAATGAAATGCACAATGTGATATTAATTAAAAAAAAAAAAAAAGCTTAGACATCTTTGTATTTTGTTTTAAAGTGGTTATCTAGAATTCAGTTTTATTATCTCTTTTCTATAAATTATCATTTGCTCTTCCTTTTTTTATGCTTGGAAAAAAGAAAGGAAACTAATCATTGCCAGTACAACTATACTTTCTGTCTTCTCAACCTTTTTGAATCTCACTTCAACTGAGTGAGGTTTTCTGTGTTAGCCAACAGCTGCTCAAGATTTTCATAAATAACCATCAGAACAAAGTAGATACAAAGGCAGAGATGAATGTTCCTGAAAACATCCATATCAAAGTAGATTCGAACTCTATACAGTCTTTCAAAAGTTATCCATACACATGTATTTAAAGAAAAAGCTCTTACTTTATGGCCACCAATGATCTCATGTCTCTACCCATCACAAGTATAGAGGGATGGTGCTTCACAGAGTCCAGGTCATTTCAGGTACCACGACTCTGGATATCAGTAGATGTTATATATATAAAAGAAACATAAAAGTATGTCCTCTTCTTTCCGCAAAATGTAATTCTGAAGAAATTACAGAAAGCTTGTTGCTGGAACACCTGCAGCTATTCCAAAGATGACAAAAAAAGGGCCTCAAGAGACTAGAAGTCAATCTCTTAACAAATCACCATGCACTGGGAAAAAAAAATCAAGAAAAAGAAATCCCCCAACATTTGACCTACTATCACTATACTGCTATAGCAGTAGCTGAGCTGTAGCAATAGAAAAGCAGAAACTTCACTGTGCACTGAAAACCACCAATTTAAATTTGGAGGTAGCACAAGACTCCTGTGAGAGACTAATGACTTGCAACTTCAGAGCCAAGAAGTCTGACACACAAATCTTACATTCAAAGAGAAAAAAGTCAACATGACATATATCTTTGAAGAATGTATGAAAATATTCTTACAAATATTTTTAAAGATCTCTGACTTCTTACTGCAAAAGATGTATAATTTTACTATAAATAATCTATTGGTAAGGCATAGTACAGCTGTGTTGTCTGCTTGGTAAAGACTGCTTAACAGACCTTTCATTTTTGTCACACTCAAGAAACTTTTTGTCACACTTAAAAAGCATCATGTAATGAATCACAGGAAAATAGCATACCTCCAAGTTGTTCAGATGCTGTTTTTCAAGGAGCTGCTGCATTTCTTTCAGATTTTTCTGGAAGGGAAGTTGGTGACTATCCATGTTTGTTCTACTGCTCTCTTGTATTGGTTTATCACAGCCAAACATTGTTGACATCTGCTTCTGATGGAAAGAATCATTTCTAGATGCTGATGAGGATGTATCATCTGTGGTGCTTGATGCAGACAAGCAACTTATTACTTTATCTTATATTTATGTGTCAACAGTACACTTTTATATACGTCCCTTTCCGAAAGTATATACCACCAATAAATGCCTGGCAAGTGAAGGATAGTCATACTACATGTAACTACAGGTGGTGCTGTTAGTAGTATCTAAAAGTGTCCAACACTTTCCATTTTAAGACCTCTCTTCTGTTATTTATAAATAGTCAGACTTTTCTGATTAGGTTGTTGGGTGACTGCCTCAGGCTGAATTATTATGGAAGATGTCAGCCAACAGTTTGGTAATTTGCAGAAATGGAACACGGAGGGTTGTGTTTTTTTTAAAAAAAAGAAGAAAAAAAACCCAAGGAAAATAAAAAAACAAGGAAAATGGGCTTTGTTTTTTCATAAAATTGGCTTATATAGAGCATGCTGTCAGGTGTTCCCTTACTTCAAAGAGCAAGAAAGCTTTGTGTATGTAGAGACCCCAAATCTAATGATGATGTGTAATGTCAGTATTGTGGTATGTTAAAGTACACGTATTTGATGCCTGAAAAAACCCCACCTTTGGAGTAGCTAGTGTAGCTGGCTTCTGTGACCAGGGTGGGCCAAAATTAAGGCAGAGGAAACCACAGGTTTCTACAAGATGAGAATTAACAAGAACCATGGGACAGGTTGACACCCAGGAATGAAAGAAGTCAAGAAACATGCAAAGCCAAATGACAAGGAAAGTGCAATTGGTGACCAGGAAGGCAGGGAGTTTGTAAAAAGGTATGTTCAAGAACAAAAAGCAGATAGAACTGGAACAAAGCTGGGTAAGATCACTAGGAATAAGAACCAAGCTTTGGAAAACAAGAAGCAAGAACTGGGTTGATATCAAGGATGACAAAATCAAGAAACAAGTAGCTTTAAGCAATAAGAAAAGAAGGCCTAAAAAAAAAAAAAAAGGCAAAAATAACCCAGATGCCAAACCCCACAGCTTGTGGGTAGATCAAGCTTTAGTCATGGCTGGGCTTCGCGAACGAAGATTTGGGGAGGGCTCTAACCACATTTGTTACAAGCATGCTGGTGGCTAAAAATGCCAATACGAGAGAGGCACGTCCGGTTGCAAAAGACACGGCAGAAGGACTCCTTAGGTGGTATATTCTGCAAGGCACGATTCTTTCTGTGTTGTCTTTTCTCCTTGAGAGTGATCCTGCGTGCGTTCTTAAAGGCATCAGCTGCGTTATAGATGGTGTGTCTCCAGACCTACCGACTGGAGGCCAGAGTAGACCAGTTATGTTCAATATGGCCAAGGCTGAGATGTTGTTTCAGGGAGTCCTTGTATCTTCTCTTTGGGGCTCCTCTCGTGTGGCAGCCGGTGGCAAGTTCACCATAAAGCAGGATCTTAGGGAGGCGGTGGTCCTTCATCCTGGAGACATACTCTGCCCAACGGAGCTGTGTTCTCAGTAACATGGCCTCAATACTTGTGATTGCTGCTTATTCTAGAACAGATGTGTTGGTCACATAATCTGACCAGTGGATGTTTAGGGTTGTACGGAGGCAGTGTTGATGGAAGCGTTCTAGGAGTCACAGGTGGTGGCGGTAGATGACCCATGATTTGGAATCATATAAGAGAGCAGACAGCTCTATGGCTCTGTAAACACTGATCTTGGTACTTTTCTTCAGGTGTTTATTTCACCAAACTCTTTTATGAAGCTTTCCAAAGGCACTCTATGCCTTTGCTAACCTGTTGTCTATCTCTCCCTCAATCTTACCATCTGAGGAGAGGAGGCTGCCTAGGTAATTAAACTGCTGGACTGATTTGAGCACTGATTGGCCAATGGTGATATGGGGATGATGGAAGACTTCCTGAGGTGCAGGTTGATAGAGAACTTCTGTCTTCTTTAAGCTGACTTGCAGACCAAAAAGCTCAGCAGTGTCTGCAAAGCAGGATGTTAAACGCTGCAGAGCTGCTTCTGTGTGGGCGACAAGGGTGGCGTCATCAGCATAAAGCAGCTCCTGGACAAAATGATTTAAGGTCTTGGTGTGGGCCTTCAGTCGCCTTAGATTGAATAGACTTCCATCGAATGTAGATATCGTCCTGATCATCGAGGTCTGCTGTGGCCCTTTGGAGCATCATGCTGAAAAAGACTGTGAATAGGGTTGGTGCGAGAACGCAGCCTTGTTTCACACCACTGGTTATTAGAAAGGGCTCGGAAAGTGCATTGTCATATCTGACTTGGCCATGTTGATCCTCATGGAGTGAGATGATCATTTTGAGGAACTTGGAGGGACAACCTAAGGGTTCCAAAATCTGCCATAGACCTTTTCTGCTCACAGTATTGAAAGGTTACAAAGAGACCTTTGTTCTAGATCAAGCTTTAGTATTCTGAAGTATAACTATTGCCAGGTTGCCAGCTATGCTAGACTGTCTAGGTGGAACAGTTAGTGAAGGACACTGATCCTGTCTTTTGGCTCCAGCTTCGTTCAAGGGCCTTAAATGCCCTTAGTCTGGTGTATCCAAAGTGGCACATACAGTTATTTGTCAACAGAACCATCCTTTATGTTTTCACCTATGTTTAATAGAGCCATAATCCTTGCAATTGATTAGAAAGCCAAGGTTAT